AGTGGCATTTGCAGAATAAGTTCTAATGTTTAGCAGCACAGAAGGCCCTGGATTCAATTCTCAATGCAGAGGAAAAGAAATTTAGAACTCTAGGGGCTGGGGATTTAGCTCAGTGGCATAAGCGCCTGCCTTGCAAGCAGGCAGTCGTGAGTTCGATCCCTGGTACCGATAAAAATGGAAAAGACAAAAAAAAAAAAAAGACATTTAGAATTCTTTATTAAAATTACTACAAGTTGGACGTGGTGGCGTCCACCTGTAATCCTAGCAGTTGGGAGGCTGAAGCAGGAGAGTCATTGCAAGTTGCAAGACCAACCTGAACTACAAAGTGAGCTCAAGGCCAGCCTAAACTGCATAGGGAAACCCTGTCTCAAAAAGACCAAATAAATAAGTTACCACAAAATTTGAAATTGCTTACTTAAAATACATTGTTTATCTTATGATAATAGATACTTCAGAGTTAGTTTGGGGATATTTCTTTTGGAGTTTTTAAAATATATTTTATGTAGATGGTAAATTTTAAAATTTACTGCCTTTATAAATTGCAAACTTGAAGCTTCAAATTGGCTTATTTATATTTTTATTTTTAATTGGTATACAAAAATTATATGGGTGCGGTGTGATATTTCTATACATGTGTACAATGTGTAATTATAAGATGGGAGTTATGATATATCTGTCTCTCTACAGCATTTCCTGTATTGGGAACATTCAAAGCCCTTTCTTTTTGAGTGTGTGTTATGGGGATTGAACTCATAACCTTGCACTTGCCAGGCAGTGCAATCTCTGGCCCCTCAAAATCTTTTCTACGAGCTGTTTTGAAATGTACATTTTATCAATTACAATTATCCTTCTGTGCTAAACATTAGAACTTATTCTGCAAATTCAGCTGCACCCCCATACCCATTTCTATCCTCTTTCCCTCATACCATTCCCCTAAATCACCTTTTTAAATATTTAAGGTTAGAAAATTGGGATGATGCGCTTTTAAAATTGCTTTTAATTCCATTTTATTATTAAAAAAAATATTTCAAACAGTTCATTTTAACATAATTGTTTAAAATTAAAAATTACTTGTCATAGAAAAACTTTGGATACATGAGAGGAAAAATCATCCATAATATCATTGTTATATACATATAAACACTCTTTCAGGTAGGAGAACTGAAGGCTGTACAAGAAAGGACTGGTGGAAGATGAGCTATAAACAGATGTTATTTATGGTGGTGGTATAAACTTTTCTATAGTTATGGTCATATACAATACATTGGTTAAAGTATCTTACTGTTTTACTATTAAACAATTGAATTATAAAGTAAAACTGACTGGAGACTGTAAGAGAAAAACATACGTTAACATAATATTTGTTAGAGGCTTTACCCTAAGTTTACTTTCTAGTGGAATGGTAGAAAAATCATTTCTCTTTACTCTGATTTTGGTTTATTTGATTCTCAAAGAAAAAAGCAAATGTTATTATCATTTATACTTTATAACACTGAAGAGAAGTTATGCTGTTTCAGTTTTTTTTTTTTTATTGCTTTTAGGCATTGTTTAAAAGGAAAAATCTCATTTGCAATATTTATTTTATATACCATTCAGTCAGTAGTAAGAGTGCTACTTTTTGTTCAGCACTGTCAGGTGCTGGGAATAGAAAGTCTGATAGGCCACTAACTTGAGCTTGAATCTTTTAATCTTTTAATTCAGAAGGGGAAAAAGAGAGAAAGTGAGCTAAATTAACCTGCAGCATTGGTGGGGCCCTGATATTCATGTACATGTATATGAAAATCGAAGGACGTCTGCCCACCCACCACCTAAAGTAAATGATACCTAAATAGTTTTCTTATTACTTATGTGTATGTGGTACATTCAATTACATTGATTGTGGCAAGTTGGTACATGTACATGACCCATCTTAATTCTGTTTTTGTCCCCTGCCCTTTCCAGCCCTCTCTGCTACTTCAAACTCTTGTCCTCCTTCCCATTTACAAAAGCTCTATTTCCTTTTCTTTTATTTATTTATTTATTTATTGGTCTTTTTCCTTTTTATTGGTACTGGGGATCGAACTTGCGACTGCCTGCTTGCAAGGCAGGCGCTTATGCCACTGAGCTAAATCCCCAACCCCTATTTCCTTTTCTTTTGATCTTCAGTTCTTTCTTTTCCCCATACCCTTTTCTGCTCCTCCCTTCCCCTATACAAAGCAGTTATTGGCCTTTAGGAGCAATTTGGCAGTGTTGTTTGTAAAAATTAAGGCAAGGTATGATGTGAGATGGGAGAGGCAGGTAAAGGCCAGCTAGAAGAGTACCTCATATACCAAGTAAAAAGAGCTTGCATTTCATTCTGTGCTTTTGAGAAACAGTAAAGGTTAAACTGGAAAACTCTATGGAAGAGGGACTTGCAGAGGAAAAGACAGAGGCAAAATTCTGTGGCAGTAGCACAAAGCAGGGTAGGAGACAACCAGGGCGGTAGTGAGCAGTGGAGAGTTTTATGAGTCTTGTGGACTTGGGCAAAGTAACTGATTGCTAGTCCTTTTTCTGATTTCTGTTTTTAGCAAACATGCCTTTAATTGGAGGTTATTGTGTACCAAAGGAAATAATTTACCTGTTTTTTTTTCCTCCAACCAGTTATTGATGCCATAAATTTCTACAAAAAAAAATGAAGATATAAGTTTATTTTAACACAGTTTGACCTCTAGGAGAGTTTTAATAGTGGGACAGGCATAAGCTTTGGATATGCAGAATTCCAATTCTGACTTTAGCAATTATTACTAGCTGTGTGATCTTGGGAGTTATTTGACCAATCTGAGTTTGCTTCCTTGTCTCTTAAGTAGAACTTAGTTGTGTTGAGTAAGTGAGTCTATATTAATTGCCTTCCCTAGGTACATAATAGAGGTTTAGACAATATTTATTCTTCCCTCAAGTCAGATAAAGGGAGTGAAAATTGGTTCTTGAGGGAAGGAAGGGGAAGGGAAAAAAGCTCTCACTGTAATGTATAGATTGTATAGATGTATACATACGATACACAAACAGATAATGTAGTCTTCAAACATCGTGGGCAGTGGGCAGGTTAGGAAAATAGTGTCTAATAATGACTTTTTAAGGGGGAGATAATGAGAATAAGATGGAGAAATACTACAGTAGAGTAAGTGATCTGCTTGCTTAAAGATTAATCATGTATGTGAATTAACAAGTGTGATTTCTTTCTTTTTAGTATACAGGTGGTCAGTTCTAAAGAGTTAATCATTTTGGCACCTGTTTAGAGTCTTATTAGCCCCAAAACTGTTACTATACATTTTTATGTCTGCTAAATAAATGAATGATATCCTCGAAATCTAAAGTACATTTAGGATAACATTAATTAAAAGTTATTGCTATAGAAATAATTTATCCAAATGAAATTTAACGTTAAATTCAACAATCAGAGCTTCTGCCAGGAGTTACAAATATTTCCGTATTTGATGCTCTTAATAATCTTTAGAATTTTAAATTAAACTTCCATGTATCTGCTGTTTCATATAGGCATTCTAGTAACAGTACTGCATTGTTGGTAAAATATGTTTGTATTATGTTTTGGTTAATGAAACTTCAAGTGGTAAAGTTTTTAAAATTTGTATATTAACTGCATATTGAAAATAACTTTAGCCAACTGCCATAGAAATTCATATTCCTGTTTGTTTATGAATGTGAGGAGAGATTGTATATACTTAGTGATTAGTTAGCATCAGCAATTATTGCCATACAAAGTTCAGATTCAACAGTATAATTTTCTAAAAGACAAAACTTTCTTTGTGTTGCATTGTTATGACTATGTAGGGGAAAAAAAACTTTCTTTGTTAAAAATAGTAAGTTTTTCTAATGAAAGTAATACACATATATTAGCATATTAAAAAATAATGAAATATACACAAGTGAAGAGAACCGTATTCCAAAAAGAAAAAAGTAATGTTTCTATTCCTTCCATTCTTTGACTTCTTCAAAAGTGATGATCGTTTTCGGTGGGTTTTTGTTTGTTACGTGTTTAGTGCTGGGAATTGAACCTAGAACTTTCTTACTCATGCTAAGTATGTGCCATAACAGTGCATCATTCGCCACTTTTTAATTTAAAAAGTATCAAAGGATGTTTTTGAAAAGATGTTTTTTAAAAAGGTTTTTTTGAACTAATTTGCCTGTTGCTATTGTGTGGGCTTTTAAAGGTTATTCTAAATTTCTTCAAATCTTTTCTCTCTTGATCTGTTTTGAGAAAGTTAATTTCAGAAAAACAAAATCCAGTTTCTTTTGTTCAGTCTGCCTATATTTTTGCCTAGACTCTTTTTAATTTACTTGGCTTTAATATAAATGTGCAACTTTATATTTTATTTTATTTTTGTCTTTTTGAGACAGGGTCTTACTGTGCAGTTCAGGCTGACCTTGAACTCATTTTGTTGCCCATGCTGCTCTTGAACTCGTAACAATCATCCTAACTCAGCCTCCCAAGTGCTGGGATTATAGGCATACACAACCATGCTTGGCTAGTATATACTATTTTGAAAGTACAAAATTTTCTATGGCCTTTTAAAAGTCTAGTCCAGAGTTTATAAACTAGTATTTTAAGCTGGAGTGAGTCTTTAGTTATATTTTGTTTAATATATGCAGCATTGCCTCGTGGAACTTTAACGACATTTTTGAATTAGAGTCTACGTTTACAACTTGATAGAATTCATACTGAATATTTGGATTTCTGTTCTCTTTTGAAAACCACATGGCTTTGAAATGCTGGATGTGTGCCCTTCTATGACAGCGTTTGGTAGTGGGCATCATCTTTAGTCCATCCATTTTCTTGTGTCCTGTCAACTCTGTGTCCTCTCTGTATTTTACCTGGTTGTTTCACTCATTTAGTTCTGCCTTTCAGTCTCTGTGCTAGGCTAATCATATTAAAGCAACCATTGGTTGCTCTTATATTTCTTGTTAAAGCAACGCTGGGAGCAAACTGTCTTATTTCTTATTCTGTATCTGCTTTTGTCTTACAGGAGAAGATGTGTGGTCTTACGCGAAAGGACTTCCTCACATGTTTCAGCAGGGTGGTGTATTCTACAATATTATGAAGAAAACCATGGGTATAGTTAATTTCTGACTTTATTGTTAGATAATATTTCCACTTAAACTGTTATAAGATTAAGAAAGTTCTATATTATAAGCATTTCTAGCTAGGTATAGTGGTACATGCCTATAGCCACAGGAGGCCGAAGTACAAAGATTGCTTGAGCCTGGACAATATAGCAAGACCCTTATTTAAAACACAGCCATACCTACACACTTGTGTGTATGTATAGATTTATATATATTTACGCATACGTGTGTATAGATGGATTTATAGGTCTATGTGTATGTATATGTGTATTCTATACATACACACATTTCCAAAGCTAATTAGTTGAGTAGAGTCTTCTTTAGCAGTCAGCTTTATTAAAATAGATTATTCTGACATGGTTACCTGTGTTTTCTGCTATATTATTATTATTAAATATTTTACATCAGTTTCTGGCTTATATTTTTTTATCTGACTTATGTGTGTGACTTTTAACAACTAAAATCAAATCATGAAATTACAAGTTGTTTGGTTATAGTCTTAGTAACTTGCCCAGAAGTAGGTAATATAGTATCATTGTTATGTTATGGTTTTTTTTTTTTTTTTGTCTTTTTCCTTTTTATCGGTACCGGGGATCGAACTGACGACTGCCTGCTTGCAAGGCAGGCGCTTATGCCGCTGAACTCAATCTCCAGCCCCATTATGTTATGTTTTGCCTACGATTAAAATGTATCTCATTTTTAGGTTTTAGGAGATAGCTTATTTTACATTGATTTTTTTATTACATTATTATTTGTAAATCTATATACACTTGTATGTAAGCATAAGCGAGAAATTGCTAGGGCTTGTGTTTTGACTTTGTATACTCAAAGATTTCACATAATTGCATTTGGCCCCAGATTTATCACTGTAGAGTATCTCACTATATTGCCTCCCTGGACTGTACAAGCAGCAAGTGCAAAATTTGTTTTGTAATTTTCGTTTCTTCTTCATACACTTTTTTTCTTAAAACCCTTTCAACTTTACTGTTATAGGAACATACAAAAATAGCCAGAGTATTATAATCAAATTCCATTTACCTACCAGCTTGAACAATTATCAATACATCTCTAGTCTTTCTCAACCGAACTGTTCTAAAGTAATTCTGAGAGATAACATAATTTCATCTATATCAGTATGTATTTCTAAAGGTAAGGGCTCTTTTTTTCTTTAAAAAAAAAATAACCTCAGTACTATTATCACATCTAAAACATAAAAAATTTTTTCTACTGGCTGGGCTTGAACCTTAGGCCTCAGGCATGCTGCATACAGGCTGCACCACTAAGCTGTGGTTTATGTTGGTGGCCTCCAGGCCTCATGCATTTGCATTGTGCATTTGTGACTGGTTCATTGTCTAGGGCTTGGATTGGGGGTTGTGAGTGCTATACTGGCCTAGGGGTGGAGCCAGGATATAATATAATGGCATTCCCCTACACAATATCAATTTTTAATATCACCCAACAGTTTTAAATCTCCTTGATATTAGATTATCTCAAAAAAAAAATGCTGTGTTTTTTTTTGGGGATAGGGGTTTTTTTGAATCAGGAATCAAGAACACCTTCTGTCAGGTATAGGCAACTAATTTGAAGGCAATAAGATTCACAAAGATGCCCATTCTGGTTTGACTATTGTCTCCTTTGGAAGTCCTGCAATGTTCACAATGCCTAAGTTTTATTGGTCTTGTTCTCCACTGTTTTGTCCAACTTTATAATATCTAATGAGATAGACAATTCCTTTTAAGGAAACAAGAGACAATGTTGATAACCATTGTTGATGACCTTGTACTCTGTTCTACATCATGTGCTATGTCTATCCTTGGTTTGGACTTACAGCTTTGTTTTGCCATATTTGACTTTATTATCTCCCCCCCAAGAGAGTAATGAGAACTGAGGAGTAATAAAATCCAAAATGTGTAAATTTTGTTATAAAAAAGAGAGGGAGGGAAAAAAAAAAAGAGCTCTAACGGATATAACAACAAGTGTGTTTAGGGATGTTAAATAGCTGACTATATTAATGTTTTTGGATCATTGAACACAGCTGTTTGCAGTCTCTCCGTTTGAATGTCTACTTTGTATTCTTTGATACTGTGATTTGAGCAACTATTTCCAAGATGATATTATGTAATCTATTAACAGGTGATTTCTTACTGTTATGTTTATTTTTTTTTTTTTGTAGTTCTGTATTATGTGTAACCTTACACTGCTTTGTCTTGTTTTGTGTTTTTCTCTTTTTCCTCTTAAATAAAAAAAAAAAAAAAAAAAGAACACCTTCTGTCTTAGTTACTTTTTACTGGTTGCTGAGACAAAATACCTAATGCCAAAAGTTGGGTAAGGAAAGGTTTATTTCTTACAGTTTTGGGAGGTTTCAGTCCATACTCTGTTCTCTGTTGGCTCCAAGGCAGGCTGGCATGGAGGGGCCGCAGTTCATGGCAGCTGCAAACATAAAGGAGGAAACAGGCAAAAGAGCAAGACACACCTTCCTGCCATTACATTACATCCTGGCTCCACCCCCAGGCCAGTGTAGCACTCACACCCCCAATCCAAGAGCTAGACAATGAACCAGTCACAAATGCACAATGCAAATGCATGAGGCCTGGGGGCCACCAAAATAAACCATGACACCTTCTCTTTTCTTTTTTTAAAAATAGGTGTTTTGTTTTGTTTTGTTGTGATACTGACTGAGGATTGAACACAATGCTCTCACTGAGCTGTATCCCCAGCCTATGTATTTATTTATTTATTTAGAGATAGGATCTCACAAAGTTGCTAAGAGTTGCCCAAACTAGGTTTGAATTTGTGATCTTCCTGCCTCAGTCTCCTGGAGTTCTGGCATTACAGGCATGTACCACCATACCTGTATTGAGGCATAATATACATGGAATAAATATATATGGAATAAAATTCACATTAGCTATTCAGAAACCTAATGTTTTGTGTATTTTGTCAGAAATGCCTAGGTCTAGAAGTCTTGAATTTTGGATATTTCTAGTTTTGGAATATTTACATAGTGAAGTATGGGGTCCAAGTCTAAACACAAAATTCATTTACATCTCATGTATACCTTATGTACATAGGCTGAAGGTAATTTTATACAATATTTTAACTAATTTTCTGTGGTAGACAGTTTCATGATACGGAGTTTTTGTTTGGTGGTATCATGTTGGTACTCAAAAAGTTTTCAGTTGGGTATTGTGGCACATACCTGTAATGCCAGCACTTAGGAGGCTGAGACAGGAGGATTACCTCAAGTCTGAGGCCAGCCTGGGCTACAAAGTGAGTTCAAGGGCACCTTGACACGCCTAGTGGAATTTGTCTTGAAAACAACAAAACAAAACAAAATGTTCATATTTTGGAGCATTTGGATTTCAAATTATTGTATTAGGAATGTTCAACCTGTATATAAGATTCTCTCTTTATATAAATAGAAATATATAAAGTCTTATAATCATCAATCAAGATGTAGAATGTTTTACCCCTCCAAAAAGTTGTTTTGTGCTTCTTTGTAGTCAGCCTGCCTTCTCTAACTCCCATGTTCTGGCAACCATGACTTATTTTGTGTGTTCACTTTTTCCATATTACCTTGTAAGTGGAACCATTTAGTGTAAGATTTTGTGTCTAGCTTCTTGGATTTAAGGTACAAGTTGGCCCCAGTGGCTTGAGGTCTTCATCAACTCTCTTGCCTGTTGTGTGTATGAATACAGCCATCTTCGTGTTTGCATATTACCCATGACTGCTTTTGCATTGCCATAGCAGGGTTAAATAGTTACATTAGTGACCTTAAAGTCTACAAAACCTAAAGTATTTATCATGTTGCTCTTTATGGAAAACAATTGCCTATTTTTATTTTGTTTTTCATTAGACTGGAAAAGAGGTTTATTTTGGCCCATGCTTCTGGTCCAAAGTCCAGGGATTGATCCAAGATACGATAATGGCCATTTGGTGACAAGGTACTGAGGCCGGTAGCATAGGACATGACCATGGCAGGAGAGAGGGAGTATGTTAATGCCCTGTTTTTGTTTTAATTTACATTTGAGGTTTGTCCTGTTTTATATATTAGTAGCTTATTCTTTTATTGCTGAGTAACATTTCATTGATTGGCTATTTCACATTTTAAAAATTCATAACCAGCTAAGGGGCATTTGAGCTGTTATCAGTTTTTGGCCATTATGAATACAGCCATTATAAACATTTATATGCAGATCTTTGTATAAACATAGCTTTTTACTCTTCTTTGGTACATGTGTAGGAGTGGGAATACAAGATTGTGTGGTAAGTACTGTGCTGTATGTGTTTGTAGGAAGATACTTCCAAACCATTTTTCAAAGTGTTTGGTCCATTTTGCCTTGGTACCAGCACTGTATGAGTGTTTCATTTGTTTTATACTCTTGTCAGCATTTGACAGTGTCAAGTTTTGTTTCTTTAACCTTGTTGCAGATTTATAATACTAGCTCATGGTAGTTTTAATGTACATTTCCCTAAAAAATGATTCTATACATATTTTGATATGTTTATTTGCTCTTTTTTTGCCTATTCTAAAATTTAAAAGTTAGAAATTTTTATATATATTCTGGGTACACGTGATTTATTAGATAGGTGTTTAGGGAGTATTTCTCCCAGCCTTTAGCTTGTCTTTTTATTCTTTTTGAAGATCCGAGGTTTTTAATTTAGATAAAAAGTCCATTTTAACAATATTTTATGTTTCATTCTTGTGTCCTAAATCTTTGCCTAGTACAAGGTCATAAAAATCATGTTTTCTTGGAGAAGTTTTATAGCTTTTAGGTTTTATATTTAAGTTTATGATCCAAATATACTTTAGCTATTACATATAAAATATATTGCAAGGTATGGATTTTTTTCCCTTGCAGTGCTGGAGAAGTTTTCTTTTTAATGTATGGACATATAATGTTTGCTTAATGTATTGATTTTTTAATGTTAGATTTTACCCATTAAATCGCTTTGTCAAAAATCAGTTGATCATCAATTGTACACT